CCAGTAGATGGCGAGGCTGACTGCAGATGTAGGGTGGAGGACCAAGCCCCCACCCTCTCCGGTCAGCCTGGGTCAAGTGGCCAGCATGGGGATGGGCACACCCATTTCTCATCTCCACTCCATTTTTCCCAGTAGCAGCTGGGGCACAGGGCCTGGGGGCTGGCCTCCACAGAGCCTCTCTCCTCTACTACATCCTGCCTTGATGGCAAGGCACCCCATCCTTCCTCCACTCCCACAGTAGGGGGACAGGGGCTCGGTGGGGGCCCTGACCGGTGCATGGGGGCACCCTGGGCCTCACCAGTACAGGGACTCCTTCTGCATGACGTCTTTAAGCTTGCCTTGGTCTTCCTCCCGGAGGCTGCCAAACTCATAGCAGGGGCTGAACTCATCTCCTGGAGGGCTGGTGAACTTGATGTCAAAGGCGGAGGTGGGGAAGTCGATCTGGTGGGTGCCAGCAGAGCCGATCCAAGCAGGGAGAAACGAAAGCAGTCAGCTTGAGGGGGGTGCCCCCACCCACCAGGTCTCCGGCTTCCCCCTCTCACCCCAGCACCGCTGCCTCTCACCTCTCTCCCTCCCTCTTACCTCTCTCCCTCCCTCCCTTGATGCTTTGTCTATAAAATGACACCGTCGGACTTGGTGATCTCTAAAATCTCTTTCCACTGTAACTTTTGGTACGAAAATACAGCCACTGAGTCCATGCTGACTCATAAGGACCTTACAGAACAGGGTAGAACCACCCCGCCCTGTGGGATTCCAAGATTGTAACTCTTTACGGGAGTAGAGAGCCTCGTTTTTCGCCCACAAGTGGCTGGTGGTTTGGAACTGCTGACCTGTGGTTAGCACCCGATACGTCATTACTATGCCACCAGGGTAAGAAATGGGAAGGAAAAAGCAGAGAGTGAGGGAAGTGGACAAGGGAACCAAGCGCTTCCATGCCGAGGGGTAGACCAGAGGACCTGAGAACGGGGACTCAGTCAGCGGCGTGGACACCTTGTTCCCAGCAGCTCAAAGCTAAAACACCCTGCTGTCCCACCAGCAGACGGAAGAATGCACACAGCGGTCCATCATACAGTGGAGCATTATCCAACCGTGAAGGGTTCAGTGAAGGTCTGAGACGTGCTGTGGCACAGGTGAGCCTCGAAGGCATTCTGCCGAGTGAGATAAGCCAGCTGCCAAAGGCCAAGCATGGTTGCAATTCCAGTCTATGAACCCGCTAAACTAGGCAATGCATGCAGACAGGAAGGAGATGAGTGGTCACTAGGAACTAGGGGCAGGGGAGAATAGTTATTATGTGTTAGCTATGAACTCTGTAGTCTCTGTTTGGAAACTGTTTTATACATGGGTAGTGGCAATGGTTGTACAACCGTGGGGATGTAGTCAGTACCATGGACTATACACTTGAACGTAGTGCAAACTGTAAATCTTGTGTTATATCGATTTTATCACAGTATTCTAATCTATTGTTGATTAGACAATAGTTTATAAGTTTATAAAGATATTCAATATCTCATTCTTTGGAAGTGTAGAGAATAGAAAAATGTGTAAATTAAGAGAATGGTTAGTTAAATGCTGGCGCATTAACATTTAAAAACTGCACACACCAAACAAAACATTTCTTAGGCTCCTGTCTCGGACCGGGGGGCTGCCATGTGGGGGCTCATGCAATAAAGAGCAGCAAGCATTCTAATTGGAAAAAAAAACCACACTGTTGGTCATTTGTGAGATCATCTTCCATTTTTCTGGCTTCTAGTATTTTTAAAAGAGGGGCAAGTGAGGAACAGGCTAGGTCCAAATACATCTTGGTGAGGGGCCCAGCTCCAATCCAGAACACTGGACACAAAAGTCACCAGGCGGAGCCTCTTGGGGTGCCCATCAGTGTGGTCTAGGACACCCTCCTGCCTAATGGGAGGTAGGACAGTACGCCACATGAGAGGCCCCCAACTCTAAAGTCTGTGATACTGGGTCCCCTTTCTCCAGGACGTAGATAAATATGCATTCTCCTCAAACGGATATCAGAATGGAACAAGCCAGTTTTCACATAGAGCCCTACCTTCCTTCCCTCAAAACAATGTATATTAGAACTTAATCTGTTGTGGTAGTGAGGATGATTTTAGACACTCCTGGCTAGGGGCGGAGTTAAACCTGTCAATCAAGTCACAGCCTGATGACATCTCCCTGATGTCATAAACCTTCTGTTTAAGAGCAAGGCAAACAGAGACTCACTCCCTTTCTCTCTCTGCCCCTTTACCTTCCTGCCGGCCGGGACTCTGCTGCTGACCCTGAGAGCTGTCTGATGGACCTGAGTTGGGCTGGGCTGGGTGCCTTCCTGATGCAAAGTTACTTTGTAAGATAAAGCTCTTTCTTGTATCTGAAGAGCATCACTGAACGTGTTGCTCTAGATCACCGGACCTCACGTGCATGTATTGAACCTTACGAAGTACCAGGCGTGGTTCTAGAACCTGGGCATGGAGTAAGTGATGAAGACAGAGGCAACGCCTGCTGGTCAGAGCTGGCCTTCTCCATGTTCCATTTCATTCCATCTCAACCTTGATTCTCCCTCTTCCACGCAGCACATCTCAGGGCCCCAGGGAAGACAAGTCAGGCACGGGTGACTAAACCTTGGTGCTAACCAACTCCTCCTCGCTCGGGAGGAGCACTGAGCAGGCGCCTGGCTGGGGGACAGCTTCCTCTCAAGGGCCAATAGGGGACAGCTTAGCTTTGAGCAGATTTATCCATAAGAGAGCTCACCGCATGGGGCTCTGGAAAGCCAGTTGGGCCTGTGTGGGACCAGTTATAGACTCAGGCTCCTTGAAATCAGAGCTGACCTCCAGGAGAGAGCACCACACGCACGCTCCCACGTTGGGCCCAACCACACACATTCGGCTGTTCTAGTCGCACCATCATCCCATGCCCAGGCGTCCAGCCTGCTCCCCACTGTCCCAGCCCACAGCTCCAAGGGGATAATGCAGCACTTAGTCTGGAGTGGTTCTGAAGGGTGGCAGGGAAGGACCAGGACCGGGTCTTACCTGCAGGATGACGCTATCTGGCTGGTGGAAGTTGGGTGCGCTCCATCGGGCACTGGGGTGCTCCTGGGTTGCTGGCCACAAGCCTAGAAGCTTCCGGCCACAGGTCAGCACTCTGAGGAGGATGGAGTGTGGGAGGAGGCAACAAAGGAACCCTGGCTACACTGTCACTTTCCCTCCGGCTCCCTCAACCCCCGAAACCTGCCTTTTCTGTCTGAACTCCCAGAGCCCTGCCCTCAAAGCTCTGGCCCACCAGCAGCCTTCCCGAGATAGCTGCACCCTGGTCGGGATGACCCCGCAGCAGGAATGCCTTCACGGGGAGCAGGGAGCGGCAGGACCGGATGACCTCTAAGCTCCGTCCAATGACAAGACCAGATGGCATGTTATCCGAGTATTGCTTTCCCAGGCCCCGTCCCCTCCCCCAACAGGCCTGTGGCACCAGCTCTGCACTCGCAGCACAGTCCTGGGTTTGGGCCCCCTCAGCAGGGCCGAGACCCCCCACCCCTGCTCTCCGCTGCATCCATCATCCTCTGGCCCCGGAGCCAGTCAGTGCAGCTGCTGAGACCCTCTCTGTCCCTCCCGCCCCTCGCGGGACAGAGGACCACTGCCCCAGGCCACATACTGCCTGAAGTTGAAGAGTGGGGTGGTGACCCAGCCTAGGGCCTCGGGTACCCGCCGCTGCTTGTTGGCCTCAGAGGAGCTCCCAGGCGGGGGGATGGGCAGCGCATAGAGTGTGACGCACAGCAGGGTCTCCCTTGGCAGCCGGTTCACCTGCACAGGGAAGCAGATCCTAGAAGGACAGGACACCAAGTCAGGAGGGGTCACCGTGGGGCAGCGAGGGACAGGGGGCCCAGGAGGAGGCTGAAACGCCAGTCTTGCTGACAGCGTGCCAGGTGCGCATCCCAGGGAAGCCATCCTGCAGGAGCGGGCCAGCCCCCGGCTACAGACAGAGCCTCCCAGGGCTTCCGGCAGCACTGCCCACCTCTGCGTGAGCCCCTCTGACCGCATGAGCTGACTCGGTCCGAGCTGGCACGGAGTACATAGGACAAGCTCTAGCCCTGCTCCCAAGGGTCACCGAGAAACTTCCTTACGTATTCCCTTCAGCCGAACCACCCCATCACTGCCCCAGGTTCCTTGCTGAGAAGCAGCACTGGGTCCTCTGGCCTCCGCTCACCCGGGCACCCTCCACAGCCCCCCAGCACCTGTCCTCTCGGCACCGCCTGTCCCCCTTCCTGGAAGGCACACAGATGTTTTGCTCTCATCCGAAGCATCTCTGAGAGCCCACGACAGCACAGAGAACGGACTCCTGCCAACTCCCGGAGCAGTGAGAAGGTGAACAGCCAGGGCCCATCCACCTGGGGCTCCACAGCCCACGCCGAGACCCAGCCCAGATCTTCCTGTGGCTGCTCAGCCTGAGCCCCATGGCCGCTCCCTCCAAGTTCAGGGGCAGAAGCAAGGGTTGAGGGGAGGGAGGGAGGGGAGGAGAGCTCGGGGAAGAGAGACAGTACCCACATTACCTTTTGTGAAGTCTGGGCTAACATCCACAGTCACACCCTCCTGGCAGAGCCAGGGGCCAGCACCCTCTACGCCAGAGGGCACCAAAACAGGGCAGCACCCCAGAGGTCAGAAGTCTCAGGACAAGGTAGCCTCCCTCCACGGCCACCCCTCACTCCTCCAGGGACTCGCCACCTGAGAGAGGCTCTCCCTCCCTCCCTCCTGTGAGAGACTGGCAGCGCCCAACACTGGCCCAGCTGCCTCGAGCCTGGGGGCTCATGGCTATAATTAGGGCCCCTCCTGCAGCCAGCGGACATGCCGGCCGGGCTTGGCCAGGGGTGGTAGAGTGTAGCTGCGGGGCCTATTTTAAGAGTGAGCTGATCCCTGTACGGCGGCGGTGGGAAAACCAGCTGACCCCCCAGGAAAGGGACAAGGGAGCTGGTCCCCATGCCTTTCCGTTCACCCACGGAGGATGTGCCTGTGGAGGAAAGCAGAGTGAGACTTTCCAAGTGAAACCTTAATCCCCAGAACAAGTTGGGGCCACTTCTCCTCCGTCTCTGGGTATGTCTGGGACTCTAAAATCTCCACTATGGCCCGACACCCAGGGCTGGGCCAGGACAGCCACTATGTTGCCTGAGGCCCTGCACCCCTTCCCTGGTGTTCTCTTCGCCCTCAGCACCACATCCCATTGCACAAACAGGCTGCCTCCTCCGGGAAGGAGTCCTGGAATGAACTGGTCCTAGACCTGGTCTAGCCGCTCACTGCCCCTCTGTCCCTCCGTGTCCTCCTCAGGGAAAGGGGTACCACTTCCAACAAGCAGCCCGCCTAAGCGAGGAGTCAACCGAGTGCCCATAGAAGAAGCACACCAGCTCATGTCATCCACAGATGACAACCACAAAATCCAAACATGACAAAGGGAAACGTATCAGAGCCTGAATTGTGAACCCCCAATCTGGAGAAGGCTGTGGAGGGTAGCGGGAGCGTGCCTAGCCTAATGAAGCCGCTGGCAGATCCCACAGGATTCTTCTAGGTGCCGGTATTTCTTGCTTGTCCTTCTTGCCTGGCCTCTTAAGTATTCACGGTGGTCTTTTCTTTCCGTGCCCACTATTTGTATTTTTATCTCTGTAAGCATCATCATCTCCTTACCACTTTGTTTATTTATTTATTTTAACGTTTCTGTTCTAGTTTGTGAAGCACAGAAGGAGTCGAGGCATAGAGATAAGAACTGATGCAAGGGTTTATAGGGGAGGGAGAGGCGGGGAGACAGGAGGGTGAAGGGGTTGAGGGAGCAAACAAGGTGGGAGGGGGAGAGAGCACCCTCTAGCACTGATGATGATTACACAACTCAATTTAAAGGTGGTTTAACCATGGGGGGAGATGTTCTGAAAAACTTTTAACTGTTTTTAAATAAAAGGGGGTACTGCGTCATGCAGGCAAGGCCTGTCGGTGGGTTGTTGGGCTACAAATAACACCCCCATGGACATATTCCCAACTATCAGTCCCTGGAGGAGCCCTGGGCCACAGTGGTTATCATCGGGCTGCGGTCGCCAGGTTGGCAGTTACCAGCCACTCGGAAGGAGAAAGACAAGGCTTTTTACTCCCGTAAAGAGTGCCGTCTCAGAAACTCCTCAGGGCAGTGCGACCTCATCCTACAGGGTCAGCATCGACCGGACAGCAGCGAGTTTTGAGAGTGATCAGTCACTGCATCAGTGGCCTGGAGCGGGGACACTGGCACGGAGACGGCTCCTGCAGCTGGCTGAGCAGAACCAGATAAAGAGAACACCCAGCCTTGGTGCTGCCGTCGGGGAAGCATGGGATTATTGACAAGGTTGGCTTGTCAAAGCTACCAGCTAGCTACTCCTCGGGAGAAAGGTGAGGTTCGCTTCTTCCATAAAGATGCACAGCCTCAGAAACCCCGGGCAGGGCTGCTGGGGTCAGAATCAACTCTAGGGCAGCAGACTGCCACGTGCCAGGCACTGGACTTGCTTGTGGCTAACTGTCCCTCCCATGATCCTTCGGACTCCAAACGCCCTGCCACTGAGTCGATGCTGACTCACAGCGACCTCGTGGGGCAGGGTAGAACTGCCCCAGCGGGTTTCCGACACTGCCACTCTTTATGGGAGTGGAGCGTCTCGTCTGTCCAATGCTGACCGTGTGGTTAGCCTCCCACCTGGTGTGACCACTAGGCCACCAGGGATCCAGCCTATGGACGAGGTCCTGTTGCAGGGACACCTGGTGGCCCAGGAACCAGACGGCATGGCCTTGCAAGTGTTCCACCTTTGACGGAGTGTCGTTTTACCATTTTTCTATCACTCCTGTTAATAGGAAAGATTTCAATTTCCCTTCTTAGGCAGGCGTCTGTCTTACAAAGGTTCCGGCTTCCACAGGTCTTACTGTATCATCACCACTTTTTAGTCAATGACCTGTCCAAGGTCCCAGCCAATACTTCGAGGATGACTGGCCCCCAAATCTGCGCTTGGAACCACCCACTCCCCACC